CAGAACTCTATGCAATGCCAACCTCTACAGCCAACAAAAAACCCTACAGCCAACACAAATCCCTACAGCCAACACAAAACCCTACCCTATGCCAACTTCTATGGCCAACACAGAACCCTACCTGATGTCAGCCCCCTACAGCCAACGCTGACCCCCTGTGGCCAACGCAAAACTCTACCACCAACTCAAACCCCCACCCAAGAAGAGGCAGTGGGAGAGGAGAGCACCCACAGCTAAAAGAAAACCAGACCTCTACTGGACACCCAATTTTCACCCAAGCACAGTGAAGTTTTTAGAGATTCAAATTCTTACTGAAGTGCAACATCCCAACCCAAATTCTCAACGTGGTGCACGCAGAATATCGGAGAGAAATCTTGTAACAACAGCCCACATCCCAGATAACTCCACACACCTGCCCCAAAAGTTCCCTTTGGAGAACTCCTGGCCCCGCTCAGGGCCACCCAAAACCCAAACCCTACATCTGAGAGCGGTGCCCAAGCGTTCCATGAGCTTGGGGCCACTGCCCCAGGATCTGACCCACGGCCACCACCTGCTGAAGAACCTTTTCCTGCTATCTGACAGCATCCCCTACAAAGCTCCGCGCCGCTCCCTCGAGCCACCAGAGAGCAGAGAGGTGCTGAGACCCAAGAAAGATGACATCACCTGGATTCCTTTGGTCAGCGAGGTGGGTAACCTCGTCATAAAGGAAATTAAGTTCATTAAGCAGGACTTGCCCCTTATGAACCCGTGTTGCTGTGATCAATTACTGTTGGCTTTCAACTCCTGGAACAATCTCTGTGATTTTTACAGGCACTGAAGTGAGACTAACAGCCCTATAATCACCAGGGGCTTCTCTCTTGCCCTTCTTGGCTCCAGATTCCCAAGACCATGAAGCAAAACAATAATAAGGGACACGATGGCATCAGCCGACTCTTTGAGCACCTTGAGATGGATCCCACAGGGCTCCTCCATGCATCGTCCTACAGTGCGAGGAACTGATGAGGGGCACGGGGAGCGCAGTCGCCGTTCTACTAATTGGCTCCATGTGGGACGGGGATGAAAGAATCAGTTTTTGCTGGCCAGCCAGGCACGCAGAGCTCTGCCAAGAGGCTTGGCCAGCTCTGCGCTGCGCTTTCCATCCCACCCATGGTTTCCAGCACGGTGCTTCCCTTCGTTGGCTCTGCTACCAACCCACGCGTGCCAGCTGCCTTTCCTTTTGGCCATCCGCGTTGGGTTCAGACGGGTTTAACCACGGGGTGGAACTGCTCTCCTTGGCTTGGAAGGAAACAGAGCTGGAAAAACGCATGGGGAAGGAAGACCGCGAGGTATTGCTTGCTGAAATGTGATGGGATGAGAAGAAGTGCAAGAAATAAGTGATGTTCCTATGTCCTAGAAAGCAAGAAATATTCAACATTCAATGCTTGGTTGGGGTTGGGGCTGTCATGCGGTATTTCAGGCTCATGGCAACTGAGAGCTCCCCCAGCATCAAGCTTCCCTCCTTCCAGCTATCCCAAAACGCGTTTTCCCCAAAGCATTAAGAAAGAAATTGATTCCCTATCATTGCTGCCACAACCAAAAGGTGGAAGGGGTTCCTGCGACCTCGGGGCGCTGCCCCCAGGGAGCGTCACCCCAAAATTCCTGCATGGAAAGACCTGGATGAAGGTGCCACCTCCTGTGGCCGTAGCTCAGCTCACGTGAAAGTAGGGCAGGAAGAGAAGTAAGAGGCCAACAAGAGCTTTGCAATGAGGTGGAAGTCAAGAAAAGAATGAAAGACTGCGGAAAGGAGGTCAGGAGAGCAGCACAAGGGGGGACCTCGGGGGCGCAGGGGAGGGGGCGTCACTTCCACCCTACACAACTTCAATAGGACGTGGTTCAATGGGACACAGCCCTGAGCTTTGTGACCTGGCTCTGGAGGTGGCCTTGATGGGGTCAGGTACATCCAAAGGGTTTCTGACATCCATTCTTCAGCAGCAAATTCGGGCCGAGCCTCGTGGATGGGAGGAAAGACACAAGACCCCGTCTACAAAGCTCCAGCGTTTTGATTTCGACTCCTTTTCTTCTCCTTTGCAGGAGGGGGGGCAGCCACAACCGGAGAAAGCCAAGCTCAGAATGGAAATCAGAGCCGTGCTGAAAATAATTGGCATCGAATGCCCACTTCCAGCTCCAACTGGAAGGGGAAGAAGCTCCAATGTGCTGGAGAAGAGGTCACCCCTGGAGGCCCTTTTTCTGGGGAAGGGGCTGGCAGTGGGGGCCCTTCTTTGGCAGCCCAGCCCAGTGCCCAGGTCAGGGATGGGTTGAGAGTGTGGAAGACAAGGAAGGGCAATGCCACTCCATGAAGACAAGGGGAAGGAAAACCCAAGACGCCAGCAGGCAAAATTAAATTAAGGGGAAAATGCTGGAAAAAGAGCTGGAAGGAAGGAAAAACCCCAAATCCAACGGTGCCCCAGATGGGAGTCAGAGACGTGGGGAGAGCTGCGTAGAGATGGGCTCAGAGATTTCAGTAAAAAGGCAACAAACCTTCAATCAGAATTCTAGATGAGAATGCATACGGAATAGAGTTTAAAAAATACACAGAACAGATGCAGAAACAGGATAAGGACAAAGCTGGAAGCTGAACACGGTGAAGCAAAGCGAAAAGCAAAGCGAGACAAAGGGAATTGTTTGGGTTTGGTGGGAAATAACCCCAAAGACTTCTGGCCTGGTCACTGTGGTGCCCATCATTTGGAATAACTGGGTGTGTTCTGCACGGTAGAGAAATGGTTTGCAAAGAATTCACTTCTCCAAATATCCATCAAGAAGCTGTGAGGTATTTGAAACTAGAAATACTCTCCATTGGAAGGGATCCTAATGCCCAGCTCTTGGCCTCACAGTACTGGACTCCCTAATTTTGGTTGTGAGTTATGTTTTAGGGTTTCTTGGAGAGATTTTGGGGCGAGCCAAGAGCCAACCAAGAGTTAAACCATCAGAGCATCATCCAAAGCTTCCTGAACACCAACAACCCAATCGTGCACCCAACGCATTATGTGCACACCCAGCTTTACGCTGGATATTTTGTCCAGAAATTCTCCATATTAGCCAAAATTCATTAAAAACAAAACAAAACAAAAAAAACAAAAATACACCTCCACTGCCTTCTCCTTGTCCCCAGCTGGGTGACCTTCAAGAGGACACTTTGGACACGGCTGCCCCTCCATGCGTGTTGGCTACGACCAACGTCTGCACTGTGTTTCAGCCATCGCATGACACATTTATCCAGCTCTGTGCTTCTGTTTTGTCCAGAAAGCCTCAATATTTGCCAAAAATCATTAAAACCCATTTCCATCCCCTTCCCTTCACCCCCCAGCTGGGTGACCTTCAATGGCTGTCCCTTTGCGCACGATGGCTGTGACCAATGACCATGTTGTCTTGCAGGTGTTTTTTTTTTTCCTCCAATAACACACAGAATAATCTTCTCCATAATTTTGCTGGGCACCGAAGTGAAACTGACAGCTCCATAATTACCGAGGCTTCTCTCTTTGCCCTTCTTGGAAATTGGAAGAGCCATAACCTGTGCCCACCCGCTCTGCGCTCAGAGATGCACAGAAAGCCATTGGCAGCCCAAAATGCTGGCAAACAAGCAAGATCTGCAGCCCCAAACCTGCTCCCTAAAGGCTACGCCAACAGAAACAAAGCATTGCAATGAGGAACCCCCCAGCGCCACCTAAATGGGGTTTCATTCCATTTAGAGAGGGAGGAGACGAGCAAGGGAAGGAAGGGGCAGCGCCATTTTGGAATGCTCGCCAGCAGGGATGTAGGATCAGTTCCCTGATGCTGGACCATTCAACCAACCTTCCTGCTAAGAGCTCTGTGTTACACCAAGATCCAATAGAATCATAGAATCATAGAATATAATAATAAGAAAACACCAAGTCAGCTTTTGCAGAGCTGGTCTGGGCTTCTAGCAGTGCCCGATGCCCCTTGCGATGCAAGCAGAGACCTTCCAGAAGCTCACTCCAACTTGCTCCCGGCCCAAATCTCATTAACAGCGTTTAAAACCTTCTGCAAACGATGGGATTGGCATAAAACATGAGCAGAGAGCATCGGGGAGCAGTGGGAGAGGTTGCTGAGATCCACGCTGCTCTCAGCGCTCCGAAATACCCCAAGCGATTCAAGCAAACCCATGGATGCCTCAAACAATCCCCAAGTCCCCCATCACAGATCAAGAGATCGAGCACCCCCTGCCCCCATCCCCTTCAGATTAGCCTCCCCACATCCCCAACCTCAACCCAACAACTGTGTGCTCAGCTGCTTTGCAAGAGTCCAGTCTGTTCCGCGCAGCCCGGCGACGCCATGCAGCCATCTCACGCACAGCCCTGGAGCTGGGAGCAGCACTTCCCTTCCCCTCCTTGTTTTTGGTGAGGTTTGTCACCTTTCTGGTGAGTTGGCTTTGGGTTCCGGCCCACTGCCGCTCTGCAACCTGATATGGAGATGGGATGGAGTGGGAGATGCTCCCAACATCACACACCAAAAAGCTGCGCACTGCTGGCCAAACCCATAGGCAAAATCCTAGCTCAACAGCTCAACACACATCTCTTTTCTCAAGACAAATCCTTTTTTTTTTTCTTTTTTTTTCCCCTTAAATTTAATACTGGGGACATCTGATACCAGTTCACTATGTTCAGAACTGCTTCAACCTCCCCCTCACGAGCAGAAGGTGGCTGCGGTCCTTCGCCGTGACACCTCCCAACGCTCATCCCTACCAGACTCTGAGCTTTCAAGCACTATCCACAATGCCTCATGTGAATTTTGGGCACCGTGCACCTAGAAATTTCTGAATGGTTGCCCCAGACAATAGGAGCATCAGCCACTGGCAGCAGGAACCCCGCTCAGCTCTCTCCTTGGCATCAGCCCCTGCCCTGGGCTTGGAGCTCTTTGTCTTCCAGCTCTTTCAAGCTAAGAATTAAGAGCTGGCATTGGCTGTGCTCATCTGCGTTCATTATGGAGAGCAGGGATTACAAGCTTTATGATATTTCAGTTGAAGACGGATGGATCCCTGCAGTGAGAAGCACAACCTCCACAAGAAGGACTTCAACCAGGTGATGGAGCACCCAACGTCACTTTCTCGCAGCGCGCGAGCAAGTTTCCAGCCTTTGGGAGAACGCTGCTGTTGCAAAGATTTTGTGCCAAGTCTGCTTTTTGGGGGAAGTTTGAAAGCTTTTTGGGAAGAGCCACTGCTCTGAACCCAGTGCTGCTCCATGAGTGCTCTGGGGGCTCTGCTGATGGAAAGGCCTCACTAAGACCCAAGGGTCAAACCTCAATCTCCCCCTGGGAGAACAGCATCTAGAAAAAACGAGCAGTCAAGGGGTGAACACAGCACCTTCTACGTGGGTAAAGAGCAGGGTGGCCACACTCGGCCCCAACACCCAACACACACTTCTCTGTCCCAAATATCCCAAAGCACGCTCCTCTGCCTCAAACACCCCAATGCGCATTCTGGGTTTATGAGTTTTGCTGACAGAAATCATCTTCCTAAGCACAGCTGCCACCCAAGCAGGAGGCAACCTCTCCATCCACAGCTTGAGATATTTCATCACCACACCTTCACCTGCCCCAGACTTCACCCAGCACGACGACAACGACAGAGATGCACAAATCAACACCAGGTTCCACCAAGCAATCCGTCCCCTGCACCAAGGATCACGAGGAGTTGGCCAGCAAAAGGGTCTGTGGCTTCACTCACCGTCTCTGTAGGACTGCAAGGACTCATCTCCCCAGGATGGGGGGAATGGGGACAGAGGAGAGCGTGGAATGCTGCACTCGGAGATGGGGGTCATGCTCTTGCGGGGCACGAAGCCGTGCGGCTCTCGGCCCGGGGACGAGGGCTCCGCTCCCACCGCCGCCTGCAGCATGGGGTACTCCGCCGAGTTGGCCAACAGCTCCTTGAGGATGTTGATGGGCGAGATGGTGAGCTCCCAGTTGGTAATACCAAAGTCTCTCAGGTGGGCCCTGGCGTGGCTGGAGAGCCCGGCGCGCGTGTCGAAGCCGGCCCCGCAGAACTCGCATCGCATCAGGCTGAACGTGCTCGGGTCAAAGTTTGCAACTGAGGAAAGAAGGACAGAATCAGTGGGTAAAAGTTTGGATCGAGCCTCTGGGAGGGGGCTGTTAGACCCAAAAGAGCCATGAGATGCACCATAGCCATCAAAGCTGGCCCCGGCGCCATACGTACCCGTAGTCCGGGGGGCGGTTTCTAAACCCCACCGATTAAAGCAAGAAAATAGAAAGCACGGCAAATTGAATACATACTACCTTTTTTCTTCTTCTTTTGGAAGGAAAATTTTTGCTCAATAGCTTTCACTTCTTCCGCCGAGATGAAATGCCGGACGTTGTAGCTCACCCCAACACGGTTGAGGTGGCCCCGCACGTGGTTCGCCAGCCCAATGCCGTTGTGGAACCGATCCGGGCAGTACGGGCACTTCCTCTCCTCGTTTTTCAACATGGGCGAGTCGGAGTCCAAAAAGTCATCAAACTCTAAAGGAGAGTCCAACAGGAGCACATCCAAGGGAAGAGGCTCTTCCATCATGAACTCCCGCGATGGGAATGCTGTTTTCTTCTTGTAGGGCTTTGCCCGGGGCCGCTTCTTTGCTTTGGGGTGTGGGTTGACCTCCTCCAGCAGAACGATGGGCACCATCATCCGCAGCTGCTGCTGCTGCTCTTCGGAGGCAATCGAAGGGTCCGTGGCTCTCAGCGTGTCTCTGTACGTCCTCTTGAGGTCCAAAGCAGCTTGAGGGATGGTGACGGGTTTGGTGACTCTGTGCTCCATCAAGTCCGTGTCCGCGGCCATGGAGAACTCCCCTTCCACGCCCCCCACCTCGTTGATAAACATCCATTTGTGCCTGACCTCCTCCAGTCCAGTTGAGTGACTCCTCAGACCATCGCCTTCGGCTTCAAGCTGCTGAGCTGCTGTTTTTTTTTTCAGGTGCTGCAGAGCAAACTGCGAATAAGCCTTTGTGGAGGAGAGCCCCAGGTTTTTGTGGCGGGCAGCATACGGGGCCGCTTTCCTGGCATGGAACCCCGACGTCACGTAGTCCTTTTTGCTGCCCCCGTTGCTTTTGTTGAGTCTTGGGTGATCGACGGTGAAACTGTGCACGTCGTAATGCGACGCGCTTTCTCGGTGGGGCGAAGGGAAGAGCTGGTCTGCTTTGCCAAAATAATCAGTCTCTGCAAAGCAGCCTGTCCTGGCGGGGCTGTAGGCATCCCTGCTGGTTCCCGGTTGGTTGGGATCTTCCTCGTACACCTCTGCATCCCAAGAGAGGTGGGAATGGGCGTATTTCATGTGCTCTTTGAGGATGTTCTCGTTGGGTGCCGGGAAGCTGCAGAGCACGCAGGTGCTGAGCCCTTTGCCGTGCGGAGGCGCCTGCACTTGCAGGGCCAGGTGCTCGTTGGGTTTGAAGTGTTTGTACATGCTGTGCACGGGGCTATCCTGCAGCTCTCCGCTCCCGTAGAGATTCAGGCTCTTCGCTCCTTGGTCCTTCCTCTCCTTGACGTGCATCTTGGCGTGCTGCACGAAGATCTTGGAGGAGTTGGTGCCAAAGACGCACTTGGGGCACTGCAGCCGGGCTTCCCGACCTTCATCCGGGAACTCGTTCAGCTTCTGGATCTCCTCGATGATTTTTTCCCTGGATTCCTGGTGGAGCCTTTTGTGCTGCTCCAGGGACGCGAGGTCCCCGAAGGCCCACCCGCACTCATTGCAGCAGAACTGGCACTGCCCTCCGAGAGCATCCCCCTCTTGGTCCCTCCCTGGCCCGCGGTTGTGCTGGAGCATGTGATCCATCAGGTGCTCCTTCTTCTTGAAGTAGATGCTGCACTCGATGCACGTGTACACCGTGGGATCCTCCTCAGGACCCAGCTCCTCTTTGCCCTGCTCCTCCACCAGCACGCTGCACACATAGGGCCTCATCTCCACATCATAGGAGCTGCAGGGAGTGGGCTCCAGGGACATCAGTGGGATCCTCTCCACCGAATCCTCAGAATTCACCGTCCACGACTGCTTGCCGATGGCGAGGTCGGTGCTGAGCTGCAGAGCTGGCTTTGGGATGGTCCACTCAGCTGCGCTGAGCGCACCCATCTCACCCGCGTCCGAGTCGACCCCCAGCCCCCTCCTGTGGGACGAGGGGGTCTCGAGAGTTTTGGACTTGCTGAGGACAGGGTTCAGAGACTTCCTGAACACCGTCGGAGTCAGCGGAGGAGGCACTTCACGCACAGCCTGTCCCCGGAAGGGTACGTTGGTTGCTACATCCGTCGGCTTGCTCACATCTTTGTAGTGAGGACTTGGGCTTCTGTTGGGTCGAGAAATCCAATCGACCCTCTGTGTCCCCCTCCTGCTTTTCTCTAAGTGCTCTTTGCCGACGCCTTCAAGTTGCTTTGGTTCAGGTTTAAGGTATTTCTCCTCCCCACCCCCCACCGGTGGCCCCGTGCAAGGGTTGGGTATCCCGGCTGCCGCCATGCCAGCACCCAGCTCCTCGGCGTCACTCTCCAGGTCCTCAGGATCCACCCGCACCGTATTTACAACCTGGGGATCCCCAGGGAATGTCGACACATCCTTTGAGTCCTTCAAGCTAGAGAGTCTCTCTAAAGTGCTTTCTTCTCTGCCATCGCCTCCTCGCGTCTCCAGGGCGGAGGTGTCCCAGGGCACACTGCCGGACACCGTCATGGCACGCAGCTCCAGGGAGCTCCTGGCGTCTGCTCTGTACAAAGCCTTCTGGAACTCTAAATGCTCCTCGGTCTTGGAGCTGCAAAAGAAGTTTGGACAGTTAACGGCTGGTTAACAGCGATGTTTCTCCTGTATCACCCCAAACATCAAGGATTTAGGATCAAAGAAAAAAAACGCGCTTAAAGACCACTCGTCCCACCCCCCCTCCGTTGGCCATTGGCCTTTTACCCAACGGTGATGCGTGGTGCCAACAAGTCAAAGAGCAGGACAGTGAGCTGCATGAAAACAGGACTGACGTGCCAACGTGGACCACACCAAAGGCCTGTGGGACCAAAGGACAACTTGTCCCCATCATGAAGTGCAAGTCTCTCTCTGCAGCACAGGGGGGGGAACACTGACCATCCTCCATCTTTCCTCCCTGTTGCAGATACCCTCAAATCACACCGGATTGAGTTGGTTCCTCCCCCAAATCCTCAGCAGGACCCCAAAACTTAGCAAGACCCCATCAAGCAGCTGGAAAACAAGTCTCCGTGGGGCAACTCTACTGGTGGACTGGGTGGCACAAGGCCAACCAGGTGGTGCTGTTGACACCACCACCACAGCAAAGAGAGGTGTTGGGTTCTGGAGAGCATGCCCGTGGGCAAACCAAATGGCTTCTGAAGTCCAATGTTTGGGCTTGGAAGCTTTTTCCCCCATATGAAAAAAAGGGGACCGCAAAGGTGCAACGAAGGTACGCGATGTTCTTCAGGATGCCCCAAGGGATTGGAGACATCTGCACAGTGAGACAGAGCATCGAGCCCTTCTGCAAGGGTGGTGGGAGGCTCGCTAGGGAAACCAAGAAATCCAAAAGCACCTGATGACCATATTCAGGATTCTGAAGAGAGCCCGAGCAATCCAGATGCGCCCAGAGAGCAGTCATGACCCAAATCTCAACCAGAACATAAGGCCCAACACCAACAGGGCCCACACAGGAGGAAGAGGACATCTCCATTGGCAGCTTAGTGGGGTCTGGAAGGTGCAAGCAGACCCCAACCCGCGGCCCAAGGCTTGGGGCAGAGATGGGAAGACAGAGGAGCTAAGGGTGCCACAAACTCCCATCCACACCGTGCTGATGGAAGGGATGAGTGGCCAAGAGCACCACGTCCTGGTGCTCTGCTGAAACCACTCCCAAGGGAAGAAACCCTGAGCCTCAAAGAGCCCAAGGACTCAAGATGCTGTGCAAGGGGCTGCCCCAGGCCAGCAGAACACTATCTCACGGGTCAGGCTGCCAGGAGAACAAAGCATCTTTCTTTGTTAGGGACAGCAGGGCTTACAGTTCCATGCATTTCTCATCATTTTTAAACCTATTTCCTAACACGCAGAATTCAGGGGCAAACCAGCTCCTGCACTTGCCTTCCCGGCTCCAAATCTTTCCCTATTCTCTTTTCTTTTGCGTAAACACACAGAGAAATTGAGAGGACGGGCTCTCCATCGTCTGCGGTGTGGTAGCAGGGAAATGCGATTCCCATATGCACCACAAACGTGATTAAAAATAACTCGCTAAGGAAACCGCTGGCCCAGGAAGGATCATTCAACAGCAGATACTAAAATAAACCCATTAAAACGTGCCAGGCATGGGCTGTGTCACCGAGCGAAAGCTGAGGGAGAGCGATTCCCATAAGGAGCCTCGGGCTGCCACCACTCAATCTGCTTTCTCCAGCGTGCTCAGAGGTGTTAGGGACACCCCAAGGAGCTTGGGGACGCCCATCTCAGCAGCCGCCTCTTCCCCCTGCGCCAGGGATGGCCCCAAGAGAGCAAAGCAGAACTGAGGTGTTCCAAGGGGCGAAGTGGGACGGGCAGAAGAAAGGGGTCGTGGTGGGAAGTGGTGAAATGAAGCTACGTGGGAACAACCAACAGTGCGTTGGAGAAAGGGAATGGCGCTGGCCTGGTGGTCGGGACGACCCTCTTTGGGGACAGCCAAGCAGAAATTTGGGGGTTTTGTGCTGTTAGCAAGGGGAGATGCTCTGCAACATCCCCAGGGCACTTACCCGAGTTCGGTCCTGTGAGCTGGGGCTGGGACAGCACCGGAGAGGGCAGGATCAGGCTCATCTGCAACAGAGAGGAAAGCTCCAAGGTCAGTGCCCAAGTGAGGCTCCTGCAGCGCAATTTGCAATCAACGTGATTTGGGTGTCGGAAAGAAAAAGCTTTCCCAGCAGATCAACCCCTTCTGCTCCTGCTGCCCTGTCCTGCTACGGCCGGGTCCGGATTACGGGAGGATTGCTGAGCCACACTTAAGAGGGTTTAATCCCGCGCGAAAGTATTTGGTGGATAATCGTTCCTGCAACTAAGCAGGCGAGAGGGGAGATGTGCACGGCTCCAGCCGCGCTCCTGCCAACCTGGAGGGGTTGGTTTTGTCCACTCTGCAAAGCAGACGGCATCCCATGGGCTCTGGTTTCTCTGGGTGCACAGCTGAGCATCATTCTGGGCTTGGTGGTGCTGACCACACATCTCCAACCCTGCTTGGGGGCTGACAACGCACGGGTGAATCCTGCTGAGCTCTACTGGGCTCAGATGGACCAGGAGCAGCCCTGAAGAAGTGGGAAAACTTTTGTCGGTGTCCAAGAAGGATGCGTGAATCCCGCCTGGACAAGACTGCAAGCAGAGAGAGGACTGGGCACAAGAGCCGTGCGCACACTGCAGCTACGGAGCCAAGAGTTGGACTGGATGATCCCAATGGGCTCCTTCCAACTCAGGATATTCTACGGTTCTTATGAATGTAGCTGACCTCCATCCCCTCCCTGAATGATGCAGCCACTTGTAGATCATGTTTGTTTCGCAGATTGCTGCTTATGTGCCAGAAGTCGAGCGCGACGGCCCAAGGAATTTGGGACCACCATTATGGAGACGAAGGAGGCAAGGCACAGGAACGTGAAAAGCCATCGCTGGTTTTCCACCCTAACATCTCAAGCGAAGCACACAAGAGGTGAGAAGCTTAAAGCGAGGATCTCTTAGAAGGAGATGATGGGTTTTGAGGTCTTTCACCTGGATGGGGCCACCGTGGCGATCCTTCATCGGCGCAACCAGAGGACGCAGAGAGGTGGCCTTGAACTCCAGCAGCTCAGGTTTTTTTTTTGGCTTCAGAAGCATTTTGGAAAAGCCCGTTGGGATGCACGGCCAAGCTGCGAGGTCACGGGGGACAAATAGTGTTCATTCAGGAAAGCCTGAGTCACTGACCATCCCGGCCAGGCACGTGGGGGAAGGGATGGGAAAACCCTCCTGAACGGGCAGACTGTAAAACGCTTCCAAAAAGAATCAAACCGAAAGCGACCGTGAGGAGAAGGGAAGCTGACGGAGGGGACGGTCGGGTGAAGGGACGGGCAGGAGCCTTCCAGGGGCTCTTTGTTCCACAGAGCTCCAGCGTGGCTCCTATTTTTAGCAGCTGTCTCCTTTAGAGGAAAACACGCCGTGATTTATCTTCCTCCTGATGAGCACGTAACTGTGCTCCCTGCAAATCCCGGTTTCTTGGAAACAGCGAGAGATGAGGGAGTTTAATGTCTTGGACTTAGCAAGCTCACGTTTACCCTCTATGGTAATCCAGTGAGAGCTGCTCCTCCGACCACGGGAGCGCAACTGCAGCTTCTCCCAGGAGAGCAACGCGGCAGCCACAAGGTCAACAACTCTCATCCGATGGATCCACTACATTAAAAGGACACGGAACCGTCAGAGGGCATCCAGGGGAGGGCACGAAGACGGCGCTGGGTCTAGAGGGCAAGACGAGGAGCAGCCCCGGGCCACTTGGTTTGTTTAGCTGAGAGGAGACCGACACCACGCTCAGGGTTGGGGCTTTGGGAGCTCTCATGCTGAGCGGGGAGTTGGACTTGATGATCCTATGGGTCCCTCCCACCTCGTAAAATTCTACAGTTCTATGGTTTTTCCTCTACACCGAGAATGAGAGCCGCCAAGACACCGAGACGCTTTCGAACATCAAGCAAACACGTGAGCTTGCAGCAGCCAAAACACACACAAAGGGCAGAGATAAGGGAAACCAGCACTGTTCCCAGTGTGGAACGGTTACACCGGGATCAGGAGCTCTCCTACACACGGTGAACCCACTCCCAGATGCATTCAGCAAAGGTTACTCGCAAAACTCATTTCAAAGGTCACAAATTGAGTAATAATGACATCACCATTCGGGCCAAAAGCGCTCCGTTTCACCAAGGTCACTGCAGGCAGTGCTGATAAGCAGAGGTTTAACAGCATGCTCACAAGGCATGGCTTCACCTAAACCGTCACCACCACCACCCAGCAGCACAAGGACACACTGCAAAGTGCTTTTCCACACCCAAGTGTCGGATCCTTCCTCCCCAGAGGGTCTCCAAGGGCTCTTCTCTACAGGATCCCTTCCACCCAAAGGGTCTCCAAGGATTCTTTTCTATGGGATCCTTCCTACCCAAAGGATCTCCAAAAAGGTCTTCCTTACGGGATCCTTTCTACCCAAAAGGCTCTTCCCACCCTGGGATCCTTTTTTCTTCAAATAGTGTTGCCCTTGCAGTGATGTTGGTGCATCCAATGTCCAAAAAACTAAGTCCAGCAAAGGCCCCCAGCCATGGGTGACAGGAGGACTCAATAAATGGAGACAAGCAGGGGAAAACTGGGAGTGTTCAGCTTCCAGGTGAAGGCAGGAAGGTGCTGCCTACAGCCACTAACTGGAGGGTGTGAAGATGGAGCCAACCCCCTCCTGGACATCCACAGTGAAAAGAAAAGAAAGTCACAACACAGGAAACTCTTCCCACAGCCCAGCTGTGGGATGCAGATATCTCCACCCCTGAAGACGCTCAAAACTCGACCGCATGAGGTTTGAACAACTCAAACAATTCTGAAGGCGGCCATAGCCTAAGCTCAGGGTTCAAAGCAATGATGTCTTTTGGATGGTGGTTTCCCTCAGCGCTACCCCAGCTAGAAATGATGAGATGCTCTGGAAGAGTTCAACCAAGAAATGATATTTTCCTTGAGGTCTCAGGAGCCTGCAGGAGTGAGGATTTAAAGGAAATCCATAAAAACATTATTTCCTAAACTTCAAAAGCTGTCAATCTGTGTAAGGTCCATCATCTGCACGCACTGGAAGGATTCCCCTCCAACACACAACCCTCCAGGATGGCAGCGAGGATGCCTACCTGACCTCCAAAGCCCGTCTGCACCCTGTATCTCAGCAATATGGAATGGGGAGGGAGGGAGGTTCAGCCCAGCCTTCAGCCCTCCCGATCAACTGGGCTCTTCCTGAGGGTGAATACTTGGCGCAGACCAAAACCAGACTCTCCCAAAAACAGAAGAAATCAAGCAAATTGGACCAGAATTTGCAATACTACTTTTTGGAACAAGCTGAAAGTTTCCAAGAGCCTCCCAAACAAGCTGACCACCTCCAAAAACCCTGCAACAAACCAACCTGTGGTGTTTTGTTGTGTGTTTCTTTTTCTTTTTTTCCTCCAGCCATCTAAACAGGGCAAAAAGAGGTATTTTAGTTCCTCTACTGCCATTTGAGCAGGGGGATATTAGGCAAGTGAGTAGGCTATAAGCAAGGGTTAGGCAAGGGGTGAGGTCTTGCATCATCTCCTGTGTAATGCAGGATGTTGCAAGGCATGAGTTAGCCCTGGAATTAAAGAGTAGCTCCTGCTCAGGATGAAGCTTTCATCTTGGGCGTTTAATTTGAGAGCAAATGGTGCTGGAAGACTCTCTCATTGGCACCGGCAGCTTCTGCGTGTTGTAAATAGCCTGGAAGAAAAACCACAAATCTTTGGCTTGACGCATGGCTTTCTGGAGTCCAAACACGCAGCAGTGACCCACGGTGCCAGAAAAACAGCAGACGGTGCAGCACAGAGGTGGGAAAACACTGCAGCCCCGTGGAAAACACTGCAGCCCCGTGGAAAACACTGCAGCCCCGTGCCACCGCCCCAACAGCAGGCATTGCTGCCGCTTTGGATGGCACAGGTTTGTGTTTTTCTTTCCAAACTAGGGCAACGAGGTTCCCGTGCAAGGAATGCGTGGCCTTGGGCTGAGAAGCAAAACAAAGCAACTCCACACACACAAAAAAAGGGAAAGGGTGTAACAGCTCTTCTCCCGACTCACCATTAATAGGAGCTGCAGTTCCTACACGAATGCAGAGCCTTTCCCTTTTGCAAGAGGAGAATTGCACCCCAACACCCCCCTTCCACTGAGGGCACCCGAAGGAGCAGCCTGGTGTCCTGCAAACCCAAACCAAGACCTTCTGATGACATTGCTGCTCCAGCCCTCCAAGTAGGGCAGATCACTCCTCCGTCCCCAGAGGATGGCATCGCTGCTCAAACTCTTCAACGGTGTTTCTGCCCCAAATCCCCAACTAGGGTAGACTGTTCTCCACCAAAAGGACACAGCATTGCTCCTCAAGACCCTCAACGGTATTTCTGCTCCAAATCTCAAAGCAGGGCACAGCACTCCTCCATCCCAAGAGAATGGTATTGCTCCTTAAGCTCCTTGATGGCCTTTCTACCCCAAATCTCCAAGTTGGGTGGACTACCCTCCATTCCAAGAGCACAGCATCAATCCTCAACATCCCTCATGGTATTCCTGCTCCAAATCCTGCCTCAGAGCAAATTCTGCTCCATCCCAAGAGCGTGGCATCGCTTCTCTCCATCAGGAATCATCCCACTGTGTCACGCATGCACATCCAAACGCTCCCCAGGGCAGGACAAGACAATCGTGTTCAACGTCCCTTTGCTGTGGCTTTGCCAGAGGCAAGCAGGAGATTCTGCTCATGCTCCTGAATACAGATGAGCTGGCGAGAAGACTTGGGCAGAGCCATGAATTTCACATTTCCTCCTGAAGACGGATGTGTTTGGGGTCAGCTTTCCTCCTCCGGCAGTGGTGAAAGATCCCGGCCGTCCGCAGACGGAAACGGGATGCGTTTCTTTCTCTCTCTGCACGATGGCAGCTCAGGGCTGTATTTAAGGACACTCCTAAGCCCCCAGGCAGGTGACCTTGAGGACAGGAGCTCTTCAAAGCCCGGCGTGCTGGCAGCACATCGCGTCTCATCTGACTCGAGCTTGGCCGGCTGCTGACGGAGCTGGGGACGGGGCTGCGAGTCACATTTACGTGTTCCGTTTGTGCTGCAGATGCAGAGCTGGAAATCAAGCTGGAAAACCCAAGGGTTGAGCAACCAGCATCCAAAGCACTGATATTTCTGCTCCACAAGCAGAAAAAAAATCGCTGCAAAGAGCCCAAACCACAGCATTCCAAACGCGGTTCAGAACTAACAAACCAAAGGATCCCATGCTTCTGGTTGCTGCCATCCATCAGACAGTGCCCAATCCACTCTTTCAGGCTACGGCGAGCTGCAGTAGGAGCAGAACCATCCATACTTGGTCCCTTTGGCTCCTTGAGCTGCTTCACAGATCTGGAGATGACCCAAAACGAGATGAAGGGTCGTACAGACAAGATAAATGCAGCGTGAAATTATAGAATTTCTATGAATTTATGCGACCCAACAGACCAGCTCCCACTGGTCAACAGCCACCCACCCTGCTGAAACCACACGCGAAACATCCATTCTTGGAGACTGTCCCAGCTGAAGCAAACGAGCAACCTGCTCTTGGCTTTGGCACCCAACTCAACTCTCCCCAAAAAAAGCAATGAGGCTCAAAGCTGCCCAGCTCAATTCTCCACACCCAAAAAGGCATCGAGGCTCAAAAGCCGCCCAACTCAACTGCTGCTGAGAGCTCCAAGTCTCTCGCCCTTCTCAAAGACTCAGCAAGCCCTTGGCCCGAGCCTGCTTTGAGGAGCAAAAGTGTCAAATCCTATTTCTACCCCTTAAAATTTCTATCCCCTCTATTTCCTCCACACTTAGGGCATGGGAAGACATGTGAGTTGCAGGAGCAACATCCAAAAGAGAAATGAAGAGGAGCAGGTCTGCCTGGCTGATGGGTCACTGTGCTGCCCCACTGAGCTTCGGGAAACCCCATGGCTATGAGGGAACATCACAACAAGCACAACAGCCTGGTCCCACCGAGGTGAGATCTTGTGGCAAGAGGAACCGGCACCAT